ATTTGGCGGTCCTCAGAGAGACGGTACTTCAGGGAGGTGCCAAGGAGATCTCTATTGGCGAAGATGGTGTCTTACGGCTACAGGGCCGTGTATTTGTTCCTAATGTTGATGGTTTGAGAGAGAGGATTCTAGAGGAGGCCCACAGTTCGAGGTATTCCATTCATCCGGGTGCCACGAAGATGTATCATGACTTGAGACAGCACTACTGGTGGCGGAGGATGAAGAAGGACATAGTGGAGTATGTTGCTAGATGTTTGAATTGCTAGCAGGTCAAATATGAGCACCAGAGGCCGGGTGGCCTACTTCAGCAGATGCCCATTCCGGAATGGAAGTGGGAGCGCATTACCATGGATTTCGTGGTTGGGTTGCCGCGGACTCAGCGGAAGGTTGATTCAGTGTGGGTTATTATGGATAGGTTGACCAAGTCGGCCCACTTCATTCCGGTGGCGACTACCTATACGGCGGAGAGATATGCTCAGATTTACATTCGGGAGATAGTCAGGTTGCACGGTGTGCCGGTTTCCATCATATCGGACAGAGGCCCTCAGTTCACTTCCCATTTCTGGAGAGCTATTCAGAGTGAGTTGGGGACCCGCGTAGAGCTCAGCACGGCATTCCATCCTCAGACCGACGGGCAGTCGGAGCGGACTGTTCAGATTTTAGAGGATATGCTTAGAGCATGTGTGATCAACTTTGGAGGGCAGTGGGATCAGTTCTTTCCCTTGGCGGAGTTTGCATACAATAATAGCTATCAGTCCAGCATAGAGATGGCCCCGTATGAGGCATTGTATGGTCGGCGTTGTCGTTCTCCTATTGGGTGGTTTGAGCCCGGTGAGGCTAAGTTACTTGGCACAGATTTGGTATAGGATGCCTTGGATAAGGTAAAGTTAATTCAGGAAAGGCTCCGCACAGCTCAGTCCAGGCATAAGAGTTACGCGGATCAGAAGGTACGTGATGTATCATTCACGATTGGCGAGAAGGTTCTCTTGAAAGTCTCGCCAATGAAGGGCATTATGAGGTTTGGGAAGAAGGGCAAGCTAAGCCCAAGGTTTATTGGCCCCTTTGAGGTGTTGAGGCGAGTTGGAGAGGTTGCCTATGAGCTTACTCTACCTCCCAGTTTATCAGGAGTTCATCCAGTCTTCCATGTATCGATGCTTCAGAAGTATCATGCCGACTATTCACATGTGTTGGATTTCAGTACCATTCAGTTAGATGAGAGCTTGGGCTACGAGGAGGAGCCAGTTGCCATTATTGATAGACAAGATCGCCAGTTGATGTCCAAGAGGATTTCTACGGTAAGGGTCGAGTGGAGGGGCCAACCGGTTGAGGAGGCGACCTGGGAGTCCGAGGAGGACATGCGGAGCCGATATCCCCACTTATTCAGCAGTCCAGGTACTTTTCTATGTCCGTTCGAGGACGAACATTTGTTTAAGAGGTGAAGAATGTAATGACCCGACTGGTCGTTTTGCATTTTGGAACCCCGTTCCCTTAAATAAAACTTCCCGCACTTGCTTTAACTAATTTATGACTTGCGGGGATGGGTGGTTCGGAAGTTAGAAGAGTTTTGAGCAAGAATATGTCCAATTGCTTCCTTAAGTCTTTCTAAAAAGGCCAAGTTTGACTTCGGTCAACATTTTGTGGAAACAGACCCGGAGACAATTTCTGAGGGTCCGTGGGAAAATATGGGACCTGGTGGTATGCCCGAAATCGAATTCCGAGGTCCCTAGCCCGAGTAATGAATTTTTTTGTAAAATTGTTAAGTTAAAGTTTCAAAGATCTAAATAAACTAAGAAATCATTGTTTTCCTAGGTATCGGGTTCGGATTTCGATTCCGAAACTTGGTACAAGTCCGAAATATCAGTTAAGACTTACCCATAAAATTTGGTGTCAATCCGAGTAGTTTAAGGGCGTTTCGACCCGTTGGAGGAGAATTTAGAACTTAAAGTTCAATGATTTGAAATATTGGGTTTTGGGGTTTGATTCCTCAATTTAGCGTTGTTTTGAGCGTTTCGAGGGTTCGAGTAGGTCCGCCTCATGATTTCAGACTTAGTCGGTATGTTCAGACGGGGCACGGGAGCCCCGAGCGTCAAACGAGCGAGGCTCGAGTGAAGTTAGAATTTGGAAAATGACTGAAGTTTGCTGCTTCTGTCATAACCGCATATGCGTTCTTGGACCGTAGAAGCGGGACCGCAGATGCGGTCATTTGATCGCAGAAGCGGAGAAGGGGTAGGCCAGGGGAAACCGCAGAAGCGGCCCAGGGACCGCAGAAGCGGTTTCGCCTATGCGGCCCCCAGACCGCAGAAGCGGTCCAGTCCCAATTTCCAAAAGCCGCAGAAGCGGCTGATTTCAGCAGAAGCGGATTCCGCAGAAGCAGAAATACTTCCGCAGATGCGAAAATAACTGGGGACAGAAGGGTTCATTTAATACGAACTCAAACTCATTTCTCTCATCCTTCACTCTTCACTTAGGCGATTTTGGTGATTCCAAAGAGGGGGTTTCAACATAACATTGCAAGGTATGTAATCCCCACTCACTTTTAGTTCAAATACATAAACATTAGGTAGATTTAACACTAAAAATTAGGTAAAATCAAGGGATTAGAGCTAGACCTAGGGTTTAACAAAAACTAAGATTTAATCATGTAATTTGCCATGTAGTGAACTAGAAACCATATATTTGTGATCCTTAGGTGATAGAGAACAACTTCCTTCGAAAAATCTCGGAATCCGGGCACGTGGGACCGGGGTCAGAATTTAGGAAACTTGTGTTAATGGTTAGGAAATTGCTTAAATAGCTAGAATTCAACCTTGTAAGTCTTTATTGACTAGTTCTTACGTTGTTTAATTAGTTTGTGCTCGTTCGGCTTCGCGTTGAGGGTGTTGGGCTTGTTCTTGATATTGGAAGTGTACTTCGGAGCGAGGTGAGTCTCCTTTCTAAC